TTTAGGGTCAGGGCTTAGGGTTTTGCTGGGTGTAGGGTGTGGAGGGACTTCAAGGGACCCACTACTCACTCTCCTTTACACAATATGCAGCTGATGAGGTGGCTTTGAAAACCATAGTCCCCAAAAATGTGACACTATAAGTATCATAGTACTATCGCAGTTCTCTTACCATGTTTTTTTTTTAGGGGGGGCTGTTGGGGGGTGAGGTCACCAACGCCCTCTTGTTACCCAGAATAACACCCATATATCATTCTGGAAACTGTCTTTATAATCCCTTACACCCAATGTATACACACACACCAATATTCCTAAAGCATCCTATATACATTCATAAATTCTCTAATGACTTCTTATGCTCTTATCGACCCCTGTACGGCTTGCGTACTGCGTACGGAATTCCTGTGTTAGAATTCCCATCAGTTAGAAATCCATATCTGTGGTACCTACAATAAACACCCTAAACCGTAAGTGGTACTACTGGGGCACTTGCAGAAAGTATGGACCGAGTGCCGCACTCCTCGGAAAAAGCCGCGCACTCCTTCCGCGGCCCAGACCTGCCAAAAAAAAGATGTGTATATATATATATACACNNTATGTGTATATATGTATATATGTGACAAAATAAACATGTAACATAAACACGTTCTGCACATACATTTTTGTTTCGTCGATAGATGTCCACCTTTTTTTCATGCTTACAATTGAATGTTCCGTGGGGCCAGGTAAGTTTAGCTTTGAGTCGAATATTGACAACGATGAGCCCCTTCTTAGTAGGCCTGCTGAATCTTGGGGTCCCCATGTCCCAACCTATATACACTTACCCAAAAGGACTCCTAGAACCATTCACAAAACAGCTACATGCCCATGTCAGGGTTCCAGACTTCCAACCTGTGCCTTTTGGTCTAGACTTATAGGGTTATGGGTTTGGGCTGCTTTATGGCAATGCATGACTCATCTCTTGCTTTGGGCGGTCTATAGCTTCCATATTGAAAGCCATTTTTGCACATAGATTGGGTCATTCCCCCTTGCA